ACTGTAGATAATAATGAAACAAACACATATAAAGCCATGGAAGATATAGAAGTTAACATGGAAGATTACTTTGAAGAAGCATATTGTGGTTATGTAAACATGAATGACTTAACTACAAATTTCAAAGCGATTACGATAAGTAAAGGAGATTTATTTTCTGATTTTGAAGAAGCAGAACAATATATGAAGTGTTATACTGAGTTCAAAGGGTTTAAGACAAGGTTGGGCCAGAGTACCATTATCAAAATAGAAAGTGAAGAAAAAATTATGCAAAAATGAACAATTTACTGTCATCATGCTGGTCGATATCAACCAATGACTTCTATAAAATTAGGAAAGACAGTTAAAATAGAATGTCAATGGCATATTAATCTCTTATGACCATTAAAACAGAATTTGAATAACTACATCTATATAACAACACTAAATGATAAACATAACATGATATGTGTCTAGAGGCTCTTCAATTCGAAAAAAAAGGCATTCATAAAAGAAATGTGAGATGATACTAAGTTCTATATAAAACATTGTCATTTTGGTATGACTTTAATTAGGCGGGTTCTTAAACAAAGGTATCCTTCTCACCCTGTCTTTTCTAAGGATCTATATAAGGAGATTCAAAAATGTAAACCATCAGCACAATTTAATGAAGGTGATGCAGCAAGGTTCTATAAAGAGTTACTCAGTAAACAACATAAAGATCTCTAATAGTTTGTGAAAGTAACATAGAAAATTGAGACAAATACCTTAACTAAACTCTTTTGGATGAGTCCTAACCAAATAATTTTGTATCATAAGTTAAGCGAGTCAGTAGGTCACGACAATACGTCTGAAACAAATCACTACTATATGCTATTGTTCCTCTTTGTAGTTCGTGATAACAATATGAAGTCTCATGTAATTGTATAAGCTCTTTTAAGTGATGAGACTACAAAATCATATCAATAGACATTACGTATAATAAAGAAAGTAATAAAAGAATCTATATCCAGTATAATTATCACCAATAGTGATCCTGCTATGTATAGAGCAGTCTTAATTAAACTTCCAATTACTCATTACATTTTCTGTATATAGTATATCAAAGAGAATCTTAAAAAGATGCTATGTGCAAAATTAGATGCAAAATTTGATAGTTTTTACTCTGCATTCTGAAAGTGTCAGAATAGCGATACTCCTGAATGCTTTGAATAATATTGGGAAGAAATGATTAGTAAGTATCCATTAGCGAAACAATACCTTAAAAGATACTTATATAAACAATATAAGTTCTGGGCATGGGGGTTTATGGCAACATTATTTACTCTTGAAATTGAGTCAACTCCCTTTGTTGAGAGTCAAAATGTATGCATTAAATATGTACTTAAAAATAGTAACACTTCTCTTTGTGAGATTGGCAAAGTTCTTATAGACTAAGCTGAAAATAGAGTAAACAAAAGGAAGTATGAAGATATAGTTAGAGGGGTTCCTTCAACTACAAATAATGTAACTATTTTTCTAAAGGTAGAAGAAATTGTTACATATTACCTGCGCTCAAATATTGCATAATACTTGGTTAGTCAAATGAAAGAGTGTATTTATTATGCAGCATTCCGTTCAAATATTGAAGAAGTTGAAAATACACTAACAGGCAAACTATCTATAAATAAATTTTTTGAAGATGAGCCAAATAGCATTCTTGTATATACACTATTTCTTTTGGATCAATTGGATAAGGCTAATATTGAAGAAGTTTAGAAAATTTTTTGAATTACTAAGCATAATATAAATCATATAATTTTTTGTTTAACTGATAGATCATACAGCTGTATCTGCCTATTATAGCAAAAATTAAAACTAGTTTGTCATTATTATTTTCATCTACTAAATGTTATAAGGACAGCATATTTCAGTATGAGATTAATTAATATTCGATGGATTCCAAAAGAATACTGTAACAATGTATTAACTGCTTTGGACAATGGTTTATAGATGATAAACAAGCAAATTATAGCAACAAGTCTTTCAGATTGCCTTAATCATCTATTTGTGAGAATAATCAAGAACATGTAAATGATAACTTGATAGACTAGCAACTGTTTTATAGAAAGGTGTGGGGTTTAATTTGTACTGCTACTGATAAATGCCTGTTATATAATGATAATGAATTTGTTAAGATGATTGAAAATTATTTGGATGATATACACAAACATGAGTTGGAATATAACAAGGTGCATTGAGTAGGTATAAGTAAAAAAGATGATAATCTTGAAAAAGACAATAGTCTTGATGAAGATGATGACTTTGATGAAGATGCTGACTTTGACAAAGATGATGATTTTGACAAAGAAAATGCATACTCAAGTATTTTGCTTAAAAATCTTTTGGTAGTAGCTACTAAAGATAGATCAAAATCGGCTAGTCATCATATAAATAATACAAATCAACAATCAGCAAATAAGAAAAAGAGAAAACATGATACTAGTCAGCAATCAACAAATAAAAAAAGGTGTGGTTTAAATCTTTGTAGTTACTGTAAAGAATTAGGATATAATTTTGCTAGATTTTCAAAAAAGATTATGAATTAGATGGTTTGGTAACATGAATTATACTGTATATATAGCTGCTGCTTAACAATTTATATGACATTTGAATTTGCAATGCTTTAATGATAATATGTATATATATACTTGTACTAACCTTATATACAATTTTAGCATCAAGTATGTATAACACTATAGATAAGTTAAAACAAACTTTAAAGCAATATATATGTCATGTCTCAGATTAATGCTTGTCTCAGCTGTTAGAGTCAAAGTTAGATCAATCAATATTGATCAATTAATATTTTAATTTAGTGCAACAGAGGTTACCATAGTAAAATTTTGAAAAACATAAAGGGTGCATTGCAGTACAGGTGCACTAAATTTTAAAACCCATAGTAATATAATAAAAATTAATTTTTTAAAATTTAAAGAAAATAAAAACTCTTTCCTGTAGATCCCAATTTTAATAAGAAATAAAAATCATTACAACAAAACTCAGAAATAAATAATTAAATAACTAAAAACACAGTTTTGAAGACAGAACAACATCCACACACCACCAATTCACATTTCTAAGTAATCAAAATCAAAAGAAAACAGAGCAGCAAGAACTACACAACCAACAATAAAGAAAACACAAGACCTATGGGCCCTATAGTACCATTTACTCTTATTATTCAACCTCAACTTCAAATGAGCAAACACAATAGTAACAGCCGAATTAACAAAGGCAAAAAGACAGCTACACCCAAACTAGACCTCACCTATACTGATTCAAGTGCAAAGAGACAATGTACTCTCCTTTCAAGACTACCTACAAACACTAAAAGTGGGTCATCCAGCTTACCCCCTCCAAAAAACAATATGACATCATTGCATCACAGCAATAACAATAACCAACTCCTACAAACAGCTTTTAACAATATCCAAACAGAGTCCTCAGAACAAAACAACAATACAATGATAATTTCCTACAACAACAACCTCAACATTACCATATTAGGCAATACATCTCATTCTAGAAATGATGACACACCCAAGCCTCCAAACAACATCAATAACACAACAACAACACAACAACAAAGACTTATAACATGAGATCTGCAGCTAGCCATACCCAGCCTGACTTGGACACCACTCAACAAGGAAACCCAGTAGATACTGAAATGACCATCCCTATTACTGAACTAGAAAGTATGCAAACCAACACCAAAATAGAAACTGACACAGCTTTAACCATTTCTGCACACCAAAATAGAAACTAACATAGCCTTAACCATTTCTGCACACCAAAATAGCTCTAACACACTTATATACAGCCAAGTGACTAGAAAAAATTTGATTAGCAATATAATGTAAATTGATGAGAACCCAACCCAAAAATAGCTAGAACATATATATAAAGAGCTAACAAGAGTAATTACATAGCTTTTTGATAGCAATACATGGCACTATGACAAACTGATTATCAGCCTTCAATCTAGCAAGAGTATACAAGATTTCATCAAATACAAAATAGCAACCAAACCTACTCAAAAGCAAATCCTCTCAGACATTTCTGCCAAATTTAAGCACTTAGACTGGGCATTCTTCCTTACCAACAAATACCAACTTCAACACCTGTCCTCCCAGATATATCACACAACTAATCAAATACTATGAAGATATAATGCTAAATAAACATGATGAAATTCAAAAGACAGTTTAAGAGGCCTTCTCTGAAAAACTTCAACAACTACCAAGTCACCCAGATAATATTTTAGAGAATATACAACAAATATTACCTTTTACTTTACCTATAAAAAACAAAGCTTATACTAAAGCAGTGGTTACTGCCTTTATCGTATATACCAATTTGACCAACTACCTGAGGAGTACTTTGCAAACCTAGACCCTCTTTTAACTAACTTGGCCAATCTTCATCCAGCAGTAAGAGACCTATTTCCAATCACTGATAGAAAATGCCTTAGAGAATTAGACAACTATAAAAGAAAACTCAGCCAATACTACGAGATGAAAACAATACCACCAAACTACTTTGACCTACCACCACCCAAAGTTCACCTACCTCTGGCATATCAAGATCTTAGTCATAAATATAGAAGCTACTTTTCACTAGACCCAAATAACTGCTATGGCAAATCTCAAAGAATTATAGAAGAACTACGAGAAGAATATTCCTTCAAAAACCTGCCTAATGACTACTATCAGGCAAAACTTCCTCTTCTCAAGGATCCAAACAAAATCAAACTATAAAGACCTATACATTCCCAATCAATGACAAGCAAGATGCTATAGAATTCATCATTGACATCAGACAGAATTATAAATTTAACTTGTCACTATCTCCAGAAATCATGACCTCAATCCTACTGAAAAGCCTGACCTCTCTGAAAACCCAGAGCAAATCACAGATTACAGCATCCTAACACCTATCACCTCAACAAAGACCCTAACAAAGATAGTCAAACTACTAAGAGAATCCTATAATTTTCACCTTATTTCTAACTTCTGAATAGAAATCAACTCTAAAACTATAGAAGAAACTAACTCAACAGACATCTCATCTATTAAACCCATATACCAAATGAGCTGAATGAAATCTTAAATCATCTAAAAAATAATAATATAGATACAACACAACTGTCTCTTCCTATTACTGACCAAAAGAATGTCTCTGAAACCCTTGGCATATTGCACTAGCACTTTACAATCAAAATTATACCCAACTTTATTCTAGTATTCCCACCTCTCCCAAAACCTACCTGGTGAATTTTCTTTCAATAATTATGATCTTATCAAGTAACAACAAATCTGTGTATAACACAGCAGCACCTCAAATCAATTCAACCACAACAGCACCAACTACAATAAAAAATACAACAGATTACAAACACAACACAGCTCCACCTATAAAGGACAAAATCACAATTGCTATACATAACATACAAGGCCTAAACACAAGACTTAAAACACAACTATAGCTTGAATTCTGCAACACACACTAGTTTCATATAATTAGTGTGATCGAGACAAAGCTAGCTGCATCCATATATACTAACCTACAGACTAGCAATCCATCTACACTGCAAACTGTGATACTTCAACAGCAAAAGCTCAGGAAGCAAGTATAGAAACAGCAATCGCTGTTACAAAACCACTTCGACCCTACATTCACAATATTATTATACGGCCTGGTACTGCTATCGCAATCGACTTCTTTTTTCCCAATTACAACAAAACTCGGATCATATCAGTATACCTACCATCCAACAATAAAGACCTCAATCTTGAAATACAAAGAATAGCGATACAATAGATAGAACAAGTCAACAAGAACAACTATCACGTTATAGTACTGGGAGATTTTAACTATGACTGCAGCAAACAATCAAAGAGTATCTCTGTTTTCCAAACAATGCAAACAACTAGGCTTACCAGTTTACATGAGTACTTTAATATTACCTCACCCACATGGTGCAGACAAAATATGCATAGCCAAATAGATAACATATGGCTACCTGCTTACCTTGTACATGCCTCTACTTGCCCCATACTTTATACAGCAGACCTTATCACAAACAGCGACCACAAAATTATCAGTATAGAATGAAAATACAACCCTAAAATTAAAAATCATTTGGCAAAAAAAGGAAAAGAACAATATACCAATATAACCAAATAACAGTAGACTCATGAGCAGAGTTTGCTCAAGCAGCAACAATCCAGATTTGCAAAAGTAGCATTGCAAACCAACAGATAACAGACTCTAAAATCCTTAACAATCACTGGTATGAATTTTATACAGCGATCAAACATGCAGCAACGAAACACATACCAACAACCACAACCTCACCTAGAACCTTCTACGCTTTCTCAACCAAGGCTACAGCACAACACCACACTCTCAAAACAATTAACAAACTAATCAGAAAACTTAGCAACAACACACATACCAACTTAGATATACAACAAATCAATCTAGATATCTAACTTATAAACAAACATAGTGAAATAGCAATTAACCCAGTAACAGATAATGACTTAACAAAAGATAATATTGATGCTACCATACACAAACTCAAAGCAGTGCAGAAAACAATCTACTATGCAAGAACAATTGAAAACAACATCGCTCATACACAAACAATAAACCAGCACATTGAGCACAGAAATAACAACTTTGCTAAAAACACATCTAAGATGATTAACAGTATATTGAGGAGACATTTAGGCCCAGTAGTCCTCCACAATATATGCACACCAAATGATATTATTACAGACCTACTTCAGATTAGAAATTATATACAGACCTACTATAAAAGATGGACGAAGCTTAATCCCGCAGATGATTAGCTCTGAAATATATAGTAACAAGAATATGAACCAATATCCAATATACAAGACTCATGGTACAAAGATCTCTCAAATATAATCTCTATAGAAGAACTTAACATAGTTCTAAAAGAAGCACAAACAACAAAGCTACTGGACCACAAAATATATCAAACAAAATGTTAAAGCATCTAGATACTACCATGCTCTCAACACTACTCAATATCTACAATGCCTGTCTAAAGTTACAACAAGTATTAGTTCTATAGAAACACAGTCATATATATTCAATATTAAAAAAACAAACCTTCACTAGACACCTAGAACATACAAGACCTATTATACTGATAGAACACTCCAAGAAAATATTCACAAAAATAATCACAAAGAGACTCAACAAAACACTCTCTCGATACCCAATTCTCAATACTAACAACCTTGTTGCACTATCTAATGCATCTATAACACTACCTATCATGATCCTAACACACATAATAGAGGAGGCCAACATATATTCTAAGGAACTTTGGGTCCTATCCCAGGACATGTCTAAGGCATATGACTCTGTCTATATTCTGCTACTTAAAAAAGCATTAGCTAGGATCAAACTACCAAATACAATCATAAACTTAATCATAAATATATTTACTAATAGACACAATATAGTAATAACTAATCATAGTACCACAGAGCCATATCCAGTACACGATGAGATCGATCAAGGCAGGACCATTACACCTTTACTCTGGTGCATATACTATGATCCACTGCTAATACGAATTACAAGAGAATACACAGGCTATACTATGAATACAACTATTAACAAAAATAACAGAAATCAATCATTCTGTTTTGGCCTACATGGATGACACGACATGGCTTGCATCATCAAAACAACAACTAGAAGAAATTCTCACAACAGCCACAACCTTTTACAGCTTCACTAATATACGAGTTAACCCAAACAAGTCTATATTAGCTACACTCAACCATACTGACCCACCCAGTATTACTTTTAACAACATCACTATAGAGAGTATAAAACCCAAACAAACATTCAGATTCCTAGGTTGCTGGTACTTGATGTCAAAAAAGCCAACCCCAATACACAACAACATAACAAATAAAACAACAAATGCACTAACAAAAATCAAAAAAGCAAAAATTATCTATAAACAAACAATATATATCATTAATACTATAATCCTAACCAGAATTAGTTACAGAGTTCAAAATACTACAATGCCTCCTACTCTCTGCATCAGAATAACAAACAAATATACAAATATCACAAAACACAAAACAGGCCTTGCTACATCAATTCCTAACTCAACTATCTTCTATAATGCAATATATGCTCTAAAAACTATTGAGGATATCCAAACACAATAGCATATCTCCCTCATTCTATATCAGCTCAACCACCCAGATTTCTACAAATCTACATTCAAATAAGGCTTCAGCAATTACAACATGCAGCTGCAACTACCAAGTCTATTCTCCAGCATCAAGATTATATTATAGCCCAACCAGAGCACTTTTCACCATCAGCGCAGATGCTAAAAAGTCTACAAAACACACAAATAACACTTGAAAACCAAAGCAACAACTGGCCAATACCACTACCAAACCCAGAACACTCAATTAATATAATTCTACACCTGCTAAAAGGTCCACACAAAATTAAGAAAAGCCTTAACTTACTAGAACTGTACACAATAGAACAACTCACAGACAGTACACAGACATATATAACATCATGATTTCACCTTCCTCAAACAATACAAAAGATTCTACGTAAAAAAGAACCAAAATAGTTTGCTGAGTTAACAAATATCATACAAGAAAAAATTAAAACAAACAATATCACCTTAATCAAACCAAACCTCTACACAGTTCAAACAGCTATAGTGACAAAACAATCTTGGGTTCTCGCACCAACACAAGTTTTGATTGGCAAAATAACATTAATATCACAAAACAAAGCAACAATACACCACTGGAAGCTCAATCTTATTAATGACACACTAAAGCCCTGCTCTGGTTGCAAAGTTAACAACCCAAAACTACAGAAGAAAAAATGCACTTTTACCAAACTACTCAACCAACTGATTACTATCCAAGTTAACTGCAAACACAGAATCTGAGGCAGTATTACTGATATCATAAACTACAGCTCTTTTACTACCACCAAAAATTCTATACTAACAAATACTTTACTTAACAAGCCCACTGCTAATTGAAGAGAATTAGCTATTTACAAGAAAATTAGTAAAACAATTCACCCTGCAGAAGCAGCCCAAGCTCACATCAACAAATCCAAAGAAAAGTACAATCAATATAATACTTACGTACTACAGCACAGATACACCTGATGGTAAAACCCACACTACAGTATGGCACATACCTCAAACTAATATTAAACTCTGCCAAATTACTTCTACCTGGCTCTTAAAAAGCAAAACACAAATTGACACCTTATCTAGTATAGCACTAATAGCAAATACAAACACCCATCTTACAATTTATAATGATGACCCAAAGTTTATACAACTTACTAACAATATTCTCAACATACCAGCACACAATACTGCATCTATTTTTCTACTTATTTATGGGCCAACTAGATTTCTCTCAAAGCTCTTATCACCAAAAAAGATCTCACTATTAATATAGCACTTATAAACCATTTCTTTAGCACCACACAATCCTTCACCAACACCACAAGTCTTGATATTATACACACTTATATCTGCCAAGACATATATACAGCACACCGACAACAAACGTGCATCACACACAAACCCCGACGATTCATCCAACATATCCAAAATGCACAGCATATAGCCAGATGGCACTCACAAAACAGGATGGAAAGATGGAATATGAACAGAACACAGATATCTTGGGACACAATGCAC